TTCATCACTATATATTTCACTTGCCAAGCTTCAGCTTGTGAGCTGCAACCTTTCTCTTGCAATGGTTTGGCAAATGACATACACTCATAAACTGCCAAAACTGTGTTCCCCCACCATAACTGGCTACAGCACAAATCCAAAAAGGAGAACAAATGGATTCCTCGTATCTCGTAGGTTGCCTTTTAAATGCATTTTTATCCTACACCGCCACCATGCTAAACATTGCTACAATCCATGCCATAAGAAAAACTCCGTCCTTCTCAAAAAATTTAAAAACATTACTCCTTAGTCTGGCTGTTTCTGATCTTGGTGTTGGTTTAGTGGCGCAACCTTTGTATGAGGCACGTCTTATTGTGGAGTCACGGCTAAACATTGAAACGTATAATGCCATCTATATCGCGTACCTTATCCCGGCAAGTTTATTTCGTTTCGCTACGTTGTTTCTCGTTATTGTTCTTTGTGCAGAGAGATTTATAGCCATTCAATATTATCTTAGATATCAAGAACTTGTGACACACAAGCGAGTTTTTGCTCTTGTCGTCTCAACTTGGGTATTAAGCGGACTGTTTTCGTTGACGAGGCTGTGGATCCCAAAGAGTATTATGTACGTGGGTTTTGGCATTACAGGACTTGCATGTATTATAGCTGCCACTTTCTTCAGTATCAGAATTTACTCGTCCGTGCGACTTCACGTGAACCAAATACAAGTGCTGCAGCTACAACATGCACCAAAGAATGCTCAAATGGTTAACGTTCGAAGGATGCGAAAGTTTGCGATGATGTCAGTTTACGTTTGCCTCTTTTTGACGGTTTGCTATCTGCCAAACATTTGTACACTCTTTACTATTGCCTTCACTTCTACACCAAGCAATGGCATAAAGCATTTAATGGTTTACAATGTGACACTGGCGTTCCTTAATTCGTCGCTTAATCCTGTGATCTACTGCTGGAAGATGAAACACATCCGACACACGATCATTGGCTTAATATGAAATGCATTTACGAAGCAAAACTAAAGAGAGCTTCAAAACAATCAATCTGGAAATAATAAACGATATGAAAAACAACAACAACAGCAACAAACAACAAACAATAACAAATGTAAAATCGTGTTATGTTAAACTTACAATAATAAAAAGATATAATAGAATAAGAATAAAAATGAACAATAGAGATTGTGGTAGTTCTCGTTAGAATCAGTGATTTAAAAAAAAAAATTGCCTCGGGAGTGATAATTCATATATTGTAATAAAACACGAAAGTTGTGAAAACTTTTTTAAATCCGTCAATAAATAAAGTATCAAGCATTGTGGTTTACCTCCTCACCCACCCCTACAGATAAAAAGGAAAATAAGAAAAGGAAGGAAGCTGACGAAATTAAAGCAGAATAACACTCACGCTCTTATAAAAGCCAGCGAGACGATGAAAACATCCTCGAGATAACAAATTATTTTTTTCAACACGAGAAGAGAAATTTGGTATCTCCAAGCGACCATGTAATGTTCTATTTATTAGATAAACACCAATGAAATAACAAACCATTTTACTTGAATAGTTTTTTGGTCTGAAAGGTGCGGTTCATTATGAAGCCATAGCAACGGTGATATTCTCACAAGTGAAGATAACATGTTATTTTCACATGTGAAGATATCAAGTTTTCGCGCGAAAGCTCACTTGGTATTTCATTGGTGTTTAGACTATATAATAAACAGGAATTATTTACAAGAACAAAATACATGAACGGTACGAACGGACCTCCACACGTCGACCTTGGCGATCTGCGACCTTTAACGCAATTTATGCGATCTTTCATGTAATCAACTGATCTCAAGGTAGACTCTCAGCAAAAACTTATTTTTAACCCTTATCGAAAATAATCTAAAACTAGAGTTCATTTGTGTGGCTTACGTTCTAATAATCCTAAGCCCTCGGTTGAAATAATTTACATGGAGTATATGCCCTAACAGATGAAAATAGTCATTTCAATGGTTAAATTGCCTTTGTCATAAGCAGAAACTGAAATATGGGTTGCCTAATGAATGACCCTTTCGCAGTTACAATCATTACTGTCGCATTTAAGCTTCTTTTCATTAAACTGTAATTATAAAAGAGCATTTGAATAAATTAGCAGTTAAACTTTTTAGACAAGGTGCCCAATCGTGTGCTTAATTTTTCATTCTATTGTGTTTCATGAAATTTAATTTATCTTAAGGTTGCTACCAGTGCGTTGAGGGATTTTGCTCTTGAAAATTGTTCAAGAAGAAAATACCCCATAGACATTTTCTTGTCTTAATCCTTCTGTTTGTTTGTTTGTTTTTTAATGCTTCCACAGTAGAAGACATAAACTATCATAACCGTCACACTGCATTCCCCAAATCAGCCCTGTCAAAATGTTTTACAACAGTTTAATAGCCAGTACCATGAACCGGAGTTGCACTGAGGCTTAGGCAAAGGCCAAAACTTTTGGGGTACGTGACAAATACTGGAGAGTAGACTTATAAACTGTTGCAGTTGTGGATCCACTCAAGAGCTCGCCGGCTTCAATCATAATATTTAACTGGGTAAACCCGGTATAACGTTGTTTTCGCCGCAGTTAGAGTAAAATATGTTATAAAGGAACCTAACTGATGACATACTCCCATAAAATAACATTCAATAAAATAACTGATTTCCTAGTTAGTTTGGCTTATTTCCGGGCCCCATGGCTAATAAGCGTGGCTACTGGTGTTTAGACTGGAAGCCCCGGTGATTCTCATCCTTAATGCCGAGATGTTTACTGGCAGCCACTTCAGTCACAGAATTATTAAATTATGTGCCACAGTCAAATTCTGTACCAAATATACGTTAATTAATTCTGTTGCATGCAGAGCTCAGTTACGTTAGATAAATAATTGATCCGGCAGCATTTGTACTTAAAAACCAAGATAATAGTGATCAAACTAAATATAGTAACGACTGCACCATTTTGTTTCCCTCGATTACGACTATACGACTCAGTGACTAAGTGTCAGCACGAGCAAAACTTCATTTTTTTTTTTCGTGGCTTCTAAAAATGCGTGACGGGGAACTTTAGACTCAAAAACACAAACAAAAGAGAGAAAATGGGTCAGTTTCGAATTATTAAAATTCATACTTGGCTCCGCGGCTGAAGGGAATAATATCCGGTGATCTTGATTCGAAAAAGGAAGAATCAGCTGCTATCAGGCGATCTTTTTTCGAAGAAAGACGGCGGACGCCCGCCTCCCAAACAAAAAGAAAAGACGAACCGCCTGATCGCGGGTTAAACCAGAATTTGCCAAGATTAAGGTGGAGCAGAGGAGAGTCAATGTAGTTTTACAAGACCTTTAGGAAGCGTTCGATAGATAAAAACAAAAACATTAAAACAACTACAAAAAAAACCATTTTCTTTTGTTTAATTATGACGTAACTGTAAGACGTGGAGAAAATTGTTGGACAAGTTAGCCTGTTGTGAAGATGAAGTTTAATTGGTTAAACAAAACTTCCTCTTTCCTAATTGTTTTGAAGTAGGTTAGGAAGGGGAAACGCACACAAGTGTTTCAAGATTTTTGACGAGGATTGCAGGTACTGGATTCCTGTATTTGCCATTATAACTTGGATTCTGGATTCTAATCATTAGTGGGATTCCGGATTCCTTGAGCTGTATTCCGCATTCCAAAACCCAGGATTCCAGACTTTTTTATATTCCAAGAGCAAAATTTCCCCAGATTCCGGATTCCACAAGCGAACATTTCCGGGATTCCGGAATCCGAATTCCCTTACATGGGACCATTTTAATCTTGTTACAAGTATGTCTCATTTGAATATATTTGTTTTGTTATCCCAGAAAAGCTCCGTATGGGAAGAGGATGATTAGAATTGACTATTCCTATCATCATCGTCATCATCATCAATTTTATTAATTTGTTTTCATTTTTATTTTTTCCGCGTTACAGTGGCCATTTAAGGCTGTGTCTCGGCTTTGCTCGTTGACGAGTCCTGTTATTTCAGACGTCTACCACAAATTGAAAGCGGAAACCGAAGAATGGGACGCAAAAGACGCCAAATTTAGTGTAAGGTGAGTTGCGTGTTTGATATATCCGGAGTGAGATTTTCTGTGAACGTTTTTCTCCGTCAACTCTTACCTGTCGGCTTTTAGCTGTTTATTTTATCATTGTTTGCTTTCCTATTCCTTTCGATAATGGAATAAGATTAGGGATTTTAAGTACGCCTTAAATAGAACATAACCGAAGTAAAGAAATTTAGGAGTAACCCGTGAGGCAAAAGACGAATGCTTGTCTTTATATTTGTACTTTATATAGCATGATGAACGGGTTTATTTAATTTGCTTCCCAAGTGTCTCAATGCCCAGGATCCAAAGCTAAGTCACGGGTAGCCAATGTGATATGTGTTGCCGAACAGAACAGGTTTTTTGTTTGCTATAAAGAATCGAGCCAACAGACAAAAAACAGTGGGTATGGAATCAACTGGAAGAATATTTAGTGAAAACACTCGAATACTATTGTCAGCCGAAAATGCGTATTTTTCTCTCCAGGGCTGCGATGACGAAAGATAATTGTAAAGAGCTGATAACGGTAAACAAACAATCAACTGATACAGAATAAGTTGATAAATCGATTTATACGAGGGAGGAAATTTACTTTAAAGGAACTGGCTTGTTTGAAAATGTAGTGTTAAAATAAAAGACCGTTTAGTAGTATTTTTCTATTTTTCTTTCCCAAGTATAATTATTTCTACGCATCATTTACATTCAGAACGGTGCTTTAGATATTTTTTTCTCTCCCTTTCTATCTTTAAAATATATTTAAAACAAATATAGATCAATTTGTACATATTTTTCTTTTTTTCTTCTCAATACTTAGATAGAGGATATTACATGGCCGCGCGGAGATACGAAATTTCTCTTCGAGTATTGAAATATTTTTTTCAACACGAGAAGAGAAATTTGGTATCTCCAAGCGACCATGTAATGTTCTATTTATTAGATAAACACCAATGAAATAACAAACCATTTTACTTGAATAGTTTTTTGGTCTGAAAGGTGCGGTTCATTATGAAGCCATAGCAACGGTGATATTCTCACAAGTGAAGATAACATGTTATTTTCACATGTGAAGATATCAAGTTTTCGCGCGAAAGCTCACTTGGTATTTCATTGGTGTTTAGACTATATAATAAACAGGAATTATTTACAAGAACAAAATACATGAACGGTACGAACGGACCTCCACACGTCGACCTTGGCGATCTGCGACCTTTAACGCAATTTATGCGATCTTTCATGTAATCAACTGATCTCAAGGTAGACTCTCAGCAAAAACTTATTTTTAACCCTTATCGAAAATAATCTAAAACTAGAGTTCATTTGTGTGGCTTACGTTCTAATAATCCTAAGCCCTCGGTTGAAATAATTTACATGGAGTATATGCCCTAACAGATGAAAATAGTCATTTCAATGGTTAAATTGCCTTTGTCATAAGCAGAAACTGAAATATGGGTTGCCTAATGAATGACCCTTTCGCAGTTACAATCATTACTGTCGCATTTAAGCTTCTTTTCATTAAACTGTAATTATAAAAGAGCATTTGAATAAATTAGCAGTTAAACTTTTTAGACAAGGTGCCCAATCGTGTGCTTAATTTTTCATTCTATTGTGTTTCATGAAATTTAATTTATCTTAAGGTTGCTACCAGTGCGTTGAGGGATTTTGCTCTTGAAAATTGTTCAAGAAGAAAATACCCCATAGACATTTTCTTGTCTTAATCCTTCTGTTTGTTTGTTTGTTTTTTAATGCTTCCACAGTAGAAGACATAAACTATCATAACCGTCACACTGCATTCCCCAAATCAGCCCTGTCAAAATGTTTTACAACAGTTTAATAGCCAGTACCATGAACCGGAGTTGCACTGAGGCTTAGGCAAAGGCCAAAACTTTTGGGGTACGTGACAAATACTGGAGAGTAGACTTATAAACTGTTGCAGTTGTGGATCCACTCAAGAGCTCGCCGGCTTCAATCATAATATTTAACTGGGTAAACCCGGTATAACGTTGTTTTCGCCGCAGTTAGAGTAAAATATGTTATAAAGGAACCTAACTGATGACATACTCCCATAAAATAACATTCAATAAAATAACTGATTTCCTAGTTAGTTTGGCTTATTTCCGGGCCCCATGGCTAATAAGCGTGGCTACTGGTGTTTAGACTGGAAGCCCCGGTGATTCTCATCCTTAATGCCGAGATGTTTACTGGCAGCCACTTCAGTCACAGAATTATTAAATTATGTGCCACAGTCAAATTCTGTACCAAATATACGTTAATTAATTCTGTTGCATGCAGAGCTCAGTTACGTTAGATAAATAATTGATCCGGCAGCATTTGTCGCCAACCAGTCAAAGAAAAACACTTTTTTGTCACAAAATTTTGCTACCGAGGCATCTTTATAATGAGAAAACTTTGATGTACAGTGAAGGAAAATAACCGTCAACTAGTCAGTCGACCATTGTCATACAGTTCAAAGCCAACAGAATTCAAGCAAGCAAATTGCTCGTCCTTTCCCATCAGCGGTTTCTTTAAAAGCCTGCATTTTAATACCACGCCTAATATAGTTGCCAATAGATAAAGCTAAAGTGTTGTTTTTATGTAGATATGACATCAATATTAAGCAATTTTTTTGCATGCTTAATCATTATGTTTGTTGCGTTTAGCGCTTCAACCTACTCGACGAAGAGACACAGTGACCCAGCTATGCCAGTCTGGATATTCACAATCGCTCTCATCAAGACGATCGCTATAACAGTTACAAGTAGGTGTAGGTAACTTTTATAATGACCTCTTGGGACATTTTTTCAATACAACTTCGTATAGCACCGTCACAATGCCGATTCGTTCTTTTACCATGATCATATTATGTCATTCAGTAATAGTGCTTTGAAGACATTTCAAATAATCATGTATTGGAACTACACATCCAGCTCTCATCGTCTATAGAGGGTGGTGGAATTTCACCAACTATAGTCAGCCGCATTTTTTCCTCGTCACCGCAAAATAGTTCTAGTTTGAAGGGATACAATAGAAAAAAACTATTTTTTGTAGCAACCTTTTTTAAAAATTTTTTTTTTTATTTTCGTGACGGCAAAGAATATCTTTGGAAAGAGACACAATATAGGATACTTATCGCTCGGTTAATTGATTAACATCTGTTATGTATTTTTATTTGGTGGCTGATTCTTTAAGCCTAAAAAAAATTTAAGACAGAATTTATCAGGAAATTGAGTAATTATAATTTGGACAAAAACCTTGTACCAGAATAATTTAAACAATATTGCATTATTTTGTACATTTTTCAGGGGCTATAGATATAATTAGTTACCTGGGTGTAATAACACCAAAGAAAATTTCTTATGAGAGCCCGTGAAAATAATGTCAAAATTCACAAAATGACATCTTACACATGAAATTTTCATAATTTTAACTGTGTTTTCACAATTCTTGTGAAATTTGACATTTATTTCTCGAGCTCTGGTAAGAAATTGTCTTTGGTGATATTACAGATAACTAATTATATCTATAGCCCTTGACAAATGTAAAAAAGAATGCGGTATTGTTTATTAAAATTATTCTGGTGCAAGGTTTTTGTCCACTAATAATTAAAATTATTCAATTCCCTAATGGATTCTGTCTTAACTTTTGCTGAATTTTTCATTTTATATTTTTTTTATTGCAAGCGCTTCCTCAGTTTCGAATTCCTTTACTACAAAAATTATGTCAAGTACACAAAAACAGCACTGCGGATTCATGTTGAGCCCATTCACTTTGAATATTGTCATCTTGGTGTTCGATCTATGATAGCTATCTGTTCTTAGGCTTGGTAATTCAGTCTCTAAAACTGCCCTTCTAGTATTTTCTAAAACCTAATTTAAAAAAAAAACACTATCACTAGTCAATTAGACCCATTTTAAAGTATTGCTCTAATCACAGTTCAATTTAGGGAAATGTTCTGATGACAGTCATAATAATCTTGATATTTTATTGTGCTTAGTAACCAGTGCTTTTTTCAGGTATTTGAACCATTGTGAACGCTACTTATAGTTGACATACCCTGGGTACCAGAGCTTTTTTTGTCGCGTGCGACGAGGAGATTCGTCGGCCGCAGGCCGACCCGTCTTCTGCCGAAGGCCGAAGATACGAGTGGCGAAGCCGCGAGAAAAAAACCTCTGGCGCAGAGCGCGTTGATTTACCGTGCTGGATGGACCTTGACCTTGTCTCTAACCTGTCAATCGCGAGGATCACTTTTTTAAGACTTGACCGAAACCAGAAACCTCGCATGAAAAGCCTCTGGCACCTAGGGTATAGTTGACACCACAGCTGCCTCCGTTCTGTATATTGTCGGTCAATAGCATTCTTGGTCGGTTGAAATACACCGATTCATAATGAAGATTTTCACACATATTCCATGCAATAAGTGAGACAAAAACAGGAAACGAAATTCCATGCACTGATTCAGTTCGACTCGCGTAGTCTGAAATATCACACGTCTCCACCCCCTAACCCGTGGGGGCGTGGGGTGAGTCTCTCTCCCCAGCGCCCCCCACGGGTTAGGGACTGGAGACGTGTGACATTTCAGACTGCGATTTACACAGCTTTGATCAAAACATTCTCAATTTAGAGGATAGTTCATTCTAAACCATAAGAAAAGATTTAATTAGAAGTTGGAAATTTTTGCTTTTTTTTTTTCACTTTTTACCTACAGTTCATTTAGTAAGCCTTAGAAATTCAAAGGTATGATCAATTCACGCTCGCGGATTCTCAACAGTTTTTTTTTTAATTTTATAGTTAGAAGGACATCTGTGAAGCGGCGAATTTCTGCAATCGTCCATAGTTCTGCTAGTGATTTCACTCGTCTTGCTTATTTGTGGACTGTCTTATTCCCCCAAAGAGAGAGAAAGAGTGTCTGGCAAATTGTTTCCAATCAAAGATTTGTGAACTCGTGTCTGGCAAACTCTCTAAGTGTTTAAGTATATAAAGTTATACGCTCCTTATAACCTCATCTGCGCTTAACGAGTGTCTTTTGGTCCATGACTTTCAAAATCGTTGTTCCACAGAATGTCACCGATAATAAGTAACGCAAAAGAGTATCGAAGTATGACTGTACAATTAATGTCACAAAATCCTACCTGGTAAGCGGTCCCCTCGTCTGTTTTACGTCATCCTAACCATCTCTTACTTGCGGGCGCGGACAATAGAAACGTTATCATTACCGAACGATTTCATGCGGCCCCTGTTCAAGCAAATCGAGATTTTTTTCTGGCATATTGACTGTATATTTCAACTGTAATAAGTACTTTCCGTAACCTGCGCGCGAGCTACTGGAGTGATTCCTAAGGATTTCGCCCAGCAGCGGGGCAACAATTCGATTCGAATTCCAAGTGATAGAAACTGGAGAGGACTTGAGGAATGTGGCTTCGGTTCCATGTTTTTAACCTTCATCATGACCGACCATTTGTAGACACCCAAGAAAAAATAGAAATGAAACGAAAGCGGTGAAAGAAAAAGCCGTGAGCAATTGAGCAAAAATATCGATCGATCGATGCCAAGCTTTTAAAAATCTCCACTGTGAACTTAATTCCTTGGCACCACCATCCAACTTGAGTTTTTGAATAAGTGTTTGGGCACTTCGGGAAATTTAACTTTCTCTTTGAAATTTATAAGAATCAACGTATATACTGAACGCCTTATACGGGTAGATGTAAAGAAATATCAACATTTGTAATGTGTCGTTGCTTTTCAGCTAATTCCGTACAAACATCACACAGACGAATGGTCTCATTAAAGTGTCTGAATAACTTCATGTTACTAGAAATGGATCTACGAGATATTCCTTCCATCAAACCAACTTCACTTCATTTAAGACACTACTCTTGCAAGCCACATCATGTATTAAACAACGTCGTGCTATTTAGGGTCCCTTTTCAAGGCTGCGGGACGAGTAGCGGGACAACTCGTGAGAGTGGAAACAGCTACATTACATTTTCAAACGTCGTGGAAAATTCATTGCCATTCAACAAATCCGTCGTGACTGTTTCGTATGAGCCGAAATTTTATTATCCCTTTAGCTGTTATTACCGTCAGAGATATGTGATAAATCTTCAACAAGGAAAAGAAAATGGAACAAGAGGTCAAAAAGGGGCCAAACCAATGCAAAAAGGTGAGATTTCAGTACAGTTAACAGTCTCGTAAGGGATATTATCTATTTGGCGTGGGTGGCTGGGTCGTGAGTCGTGGATCGTGCGTCGTGAGTCGTGGGCTGTGCCTCGTCGGTATTACGTTGTGGGTAGTGGTATCCTAACTGTGTGAGAACAGCAAAAGCTGAATGAGAGCGAAAGTACAACGCACAACACCTGAGCCACTTAGTCATGCGATCTAGCGGCGACTCTCCTCGTAACGCCCTCCCCTATAAGGCGAACACTTGGATCAATTTAGGATTCTGGGAAACTGCCCACCTACCCATCCCCTAAGCCAACATTTTGCCCTAAGTGAGAAGCAAATGATGGTGTTGGCTTAGGGGAGGGGTAGGTGGGGAGTTTCCCAAAAAACCTAAATTGATCCAAGAGTTCCTTCACCCTATTAAGTTTTAGTTCAAATGGATAAAAATTGCAATGCTACCTTGGTGGGACCACCTTTTCCTTCCAATTGACCTGGCGTATCTGATTATTTGCTCTTAAAAATTCTGCGGAAATTTCGTTTGGATGCTTTCGAGTTTTAAGGCCAATCTTGCTCAAGGGTCCTCTTTTTTGCTCACACAAAAAACTAGGTACTGAAGAAACCTTGGGTACCGTTTCTCTAAAGTCCCGATAACTTTTCGGGCCCGGAAAGATATTTAATGTTTGCCGTGTTTGCATCCAATAACAAAGTTGCAATAATTTTGAAAAAGATTCAATGAAAGTATCAGTCAACGAAGCAAAATTGACTGGTTTGTGAGCTATGAACTGTGCTACTATTCAGCAGGTCTTGATTTTAAAATTTGAATTCGGTATCGAAAATTTAACGGACCGGAGATTATTTCTCCAACACCACAAGAGGTTTAGTGTCTGGGATATTTCAAGCTGCTTCATTACGATCGTTACGATCTCAATAGACTTTCTCACCTTTTTCCGCAGGTTCGAGCACCCAAATAGAGAAACTCTCTTCCAATGGAAAAGCGAAATCTTCAACTACGATCAGCTCTCTACTGGCTGAAATCCTACTTTTGTTGGTCATCTGCACCTAATTAGAACTAAAGCCGCGTTTAACATCCTAATACATTTAAAACAACGGATGAAATGAGGGGAACTTTTCCATCATCAAATGCTGCGACTGCCAGGCCACTTAGATTGTTTTATTTATTTATTTTTTCATGCAAGACATTTATTACTCTAATTACAAAGAACTACCTAAAAAGAAACACACGAACTTAACTAAAGGGGTGAAATGTCTTTTGGCCATTTTTCATAAAAGGTTTCTAATTTATTTTTCTTAGTGGAAATACATTTTTCACTTATATTGTTGAGACTGGCATTGGCTAGTCCCTGTAGGGCGTTTCCCCAGTCCCTCTCGGTCAAGTCCCCTTTTTGCTTGGACCAAGTCAGTAGGCAAGGTGAGCGGATATACTGGTTTCGTCTGGACAAAAGGCTGATTCGTGTAAAAAAAAAAGTGGGGGCAGGAGTCCATAACCCGGAGAGAGTAACTTCAGGGAAAAAGCTGAGAAAAAAACAGCGATTTAATAAAATATCCGGATTTGTGCGGACGTGGCCTTTAGACTAACGATTGTCGTGTAAATTGCTCTCATATACTGTAAATTAAGGGGCCCTGTGTAAATTATGACTACAGGATAAAAATTTAAACAATAAAGATTACTTTAAAATTATGTACAAGGATTTTAAAAAGTGCCTGAAAGGGCAATTACATATCATTATAATATGTTGAAGATCAAGAAAAATAAGAGAGCTATCGAAGTTACTTAAGAATTATATTAATAAGAAACAACTAATGGCTAAATTGAAAGCTAAGAAAGTTCTTATAAATGGAAAGCGACGTAGCTTCTTTTATTGATGTGGGCAAATTATTAAAAATAACCGCACCTGAAAATCTAAAAGTGTTTTTTTTTTTTCTAGCGTTAACTTAGGGTTCGGTCGATGAATGTCATTGCTTTGTCTTGTCTTGTAAGTGTGAATAGTGCGATTTCTAATAAAATAATCCGATGAATATGGAGGAACTAATTCATTTAGACATTTAAAAAATACATTTACATACAAAAAATACATTTGTGACAACACAACGAGGGGGTGGGATTTCAACCCGGGAACAGGCTATAAATCTCTCTATTATCTGACCAATTTTTTGGAATTAGCGATATATAGTTAGAGAGTTTTAGCCAATAGGCCACTTCCGAGTTTCAAAAACCATCACTTTCAAAATGAGGCCAAGTACTCAACCTTTCTTGTGAAAATGAGCTTTATGCAAAATCATGGGCATATCAAAGGCTGAGACATCGGAAAAACAAAACGAACAAAATATCGGGCAAAGAATGAAACAAAAAATCGGACAAAACAAATCGAACACAAAAGTCGGACAAAAAATCGAAAGATATAGTCGGACAAAAAATCACACAAAGAGATCGAACAGGAAGACATCGGACAATAAATTGGGACAAAAAATCAGACCGAAAAACCAGCCAAAAATCGGACATATAAATTCGGACAAAATAGCCGGAAACAAAATCGAACAAGATGTCGGACAAAATATCGAGCAAAAAAATCAAACAAAAAATCGGACAAAGAATCGGACAAGATAGTCGGACAAAGAAATCGAATAAGGCATCTCACAAATTCGGACAAAAAATAGGACAAAAAACCAGACTAAAAGCGGTAAAAAAATTCCGACAAAAAATCGGACAAAGAAATCGAACAAGACATCGGACAATAAATTCGGACAAAAAGTCAGACGGCAAAAAGAGACAAAAAAAATCGGATTTGTTATTTGCCAGCAATTTCCTCGCTTAAGTCAAGTTCCGTTGCAATTAAGGACGTGCAACTGTTAATATAGAATTTCTCAAAGCCGCTTTCTGGTTTCTGGTGGTTTGGTGGTCATTCGGAAAACTTATGTCTCGTTTTCGCTGGCTTAACGAGCGTCCCTCGTTCCAGAGGAACAGGGGCCACAGGGGCCACAAGGGACACAGAAGACACAGGGACCACAGGGGACACAACGAACACAGGGGCCATAGGGGCCAAGGGGCCACCAAGGGAAAGAGCGGCAAAGGGGGAACATAGAACAAAGGGCCCACATGGTCCACACGGTCCACAGAAGCCAGAGGGGACATAGGGGACACGAGGGACACGAGGAGCAACAGGGGACACACGGTCCACAGGGGACACAATGCCGGGCCACAGGGGCCACTGGCCACAGGTGACACAGAGGGACTGTGGACCGTGTGGCCACATGGCAAACTTGTTTTGCAGCAAGTGACGTAACTCCCGTGTACGACGTGAACTCCGGCGTAATTTTACCCAATCAGAAGTCAGTATTCACGCAACTTGCTGCAACCTTAATATGTTGCAAGACAGGCTTAAATGTGGGTGGTAAAACGCGCAACATTCGTTTTGCAGCAATGTTTCAAAACAAGTTGCACGTCTTTGCGGCCCTTTTTACCGTACCTTTAGGTTTACTTGTCATTTGTTGATACAATGAGATGTCTCAGCCAATCACGATGCCTTGTACTGCCATGACGAAACTACTACCATTCGCAGCTGATCAGACTGATGCTCAATCTTCCTTTTCCTGAACGTTCTTGCTTGGAATGAGTCCGGCTTTGTCGTGACTGCACTCGTCCTTTCTGGCCTAGAATGGCAGAACTAATTTTAAGTTGGAAAAATATAATAGTTGTGGTATTGCATTTATTTACCGGTACGGACTGTTTTTACTGGAAAAACTTTCTAGCTTTTAGCATGTCCAAGATGAGGCAACTGTCGGGGTGAGAACATGTAAATCTGAATAACTATCACAGGGGACACACTATCAGTTCCACCCGTAATTTACCGTCGCTTTGAGCCCAGTGCCACCTACATTTTCCGCCAAAAAATAATGTAGGCTCTTAGCCAAGAAAAAGTCAAAACTGTAAAACGCTGTGTAAAAGTTTTGTTCGCCGTCATCAAATCTGGATTTTTCCCCTACAGTCGCACTTTTACGTCCAAAGTCGTCTATGGGAACACAAGATATGGTTCAAACACTGGACATCTGACATCAGACGTATGACGTCAGACACCTGAAATTAGACGTCTGACATCAGACATTTGAAATCAGAGGTATGAAAACAGACATCTGAAATCAGACATTTGAAATCAGACATCTGATGTCAGACGTCTGAAATCAGACAGCTGACATCAGACGTCTGATATCAGACAGCTGACATCAGATGTCTGACATCAGACATCTGTAATCAGACGTCTGACAACATACATATGGATCAGACATTTGAAATTAGACGTCTGAAATCAGACATCTCACAAGAGACACCTGACATTAGACGTCTGATAACAGAACCTGACATCAGACACCTGATATCAAACACCTGAAATAAGAAGTCTCACAACAGACATCCCAAATCAGACACCTGACATCAGACGTCTGATATCAAACACCTAAAAACAGACGTCTAACAACAGACGTCTGAAATAAGACTCCTGACATCAGACGTCTGATATCAGACATCTGAAATTAGACGTCTCACAACAGACATCTGAAATCAGAAATCTGAAATCAGAAATCTGACATGATAACAGAACCTGACATCAGACGTCTGATATCAAATACCTGAAATCAGACGTCTGATATCAGACATTATTCATATAACACATCAGACATTTGATCAGACATCATACTGGAAAGAGGCTTAATACGCCCTCCCCTATAAGGCGAACACTTGGATCAATTTAGGATTCTGGGAAACTGCCCACCTACCCATCCCCTAAGCCAACATTTTGCCCTAAGTGAGAAGCAAATGATGGTGTTGGCTTAGGGGAGGGGTAAGTGGGCAGTTTCTCAAAAAACCTAAATTGATCCAAGAGTTCCTTCACCCTATTAAGTTTTAGTTCAAATGGATAAAAATTGCAATGCTACCTTGGTGGGACCACCTTTTCCTTCCAATTGACCTGGCGTATCTGATGATTTGCTCTTAAAAATTCTGCGGAAAATTCGTTTGGATG